TCATGTACTGCAGCATTCTGCTACTACTGCATGCCAGCAGAGAAAGTAATGAAATATCTCTCCCTTTTACATTTTACTTATCTATTTTACTTCGATGGGTTTTACTAGAGTTGTAATAATTTAAAATTTGCAGGTTCACATTGTGTACATGGGAGAGCTTCCTAAGGGAGATTTCTCTGTTGCATCCACCCACCATTCCATGCTTAAAACTGTTCTTGGGAGGTTACTATACACTAACAATCCTACTGCTGCTGTATTCATGACTTTCCTTGATAATTGAAACTTCATTGCGTTTCTAGCTAATTAACTATGTGTAAATAATATCATATCTAAGTTAAAAGTTAAGGGCAGTTGAAATTCTTACATCCAGAAAGTCATTTTCGAATTATTCAAATGTCTTATGTTCATAATTATTTTATTGTTGGGTGGTACTGCTGGATCTCGAACAGTAAATCATCAGTCAAGGACTCATTAATCTATAGTTACGGGAGGAGCTTCAATGGATTTGCAGCAAACTTAACAGATGAAGAAGTTGAGAGTTTCTCGGGTGAGATTGTTAACTATTGACAAAAAAGAGAAATTGGGTCTTATTGTTTACTAATCGATACAATCTTAATGCTTAAAAAAAATTGAATACGTTGCAGACATGGAAGGTGTAGTCTCTGTGATTCCAAACCACATACTAAAACTTCACACCACAAGGTCATGGGACTTCATGGGTATTAGTAAAGACACTGTTGGTCCACCCAAAGAAGGAAACGTCATTGTTGGGCTTCTAGATACAGGCAAATGCAGATTAATTCCTTCTGCTTTTTTGAACTATTAATAAAGAAGATGATGTGAATTGTACCTCTCTATTGTTTGTTTTAAAGGAATCTGGCCAGAATCTGAAAGCTTTAACGATGATGGTTTTACTGCTCCGCCAGCCAAGTGGAAAGGAAAATGCACAGGTGCCAACTTCACCTGCAACAAGTGAGTTATTCTTCTTGATTGCCTTTGGACGTCATTAATCCTCTGAAGTTGTAACTCATCTGATGAAACACTTAAAACTTCACAGCAAGCTTATTGGAGCCCGCTATTACAACAGCGAGAACTTGTATTTCCCCGGGGACTTCAAATCTCCAAGAGACTCTGAAGGCCACGGAACTCATACTTCGTCAACTGCAGCAGGGCGTGAAGTGGCGGGAGCAAGCTACTTAGGGTTAGCTAATGGGACTGCCAGAGGAGGAGCCCCTTATGCAAGAATTGCCATGTACAAGGTCTGCTGGGCATTTGGATGCTCTTCTGCAGATATTCTTGCAGCATTTGATGATGCAATAGCTGATGGTGTTGATATTCTATCAGTCTCCCTCGGTTTTCCTTGGCCAATACCCTACTTAGAAGATCCTATTGCCATCGGTGCCTTCCATGCTATGAGAAAGGGTATATTGACCTCAAACTCCGCTGGAAATTCCGGGCCCTGGCCTGCAACAGTTTCTAACTATGCACCTTGGACACTGACTGTTGCTGCTAGCACCATTGATAGAAAATTCATCGCTCAAGTAGCGCTTGGAAATGGAAAAGTTTACAATGTGAGTGAATATTCATCACTCCCACCAAATTCTCATTTCAAATAATATTTCTGATATCGTCATCTAACCTTACGTGCTTTCATCATATGAAGGGA